CGCACCTTCTTCCCCTAGCCCTGTCCACCTTCCAAGAACCAGGCACGTGGAGATGGCCAAGGGCGGGGCAGTCGTGATGCCTGGGTCAATCAGTCACCCTGTTAACGGAATTGATGAAGGAAATGACTTCCCGCAGACGGGGCTTGTGTTGGCCTGAAAGTCTCACGCAGTCTGTTTCTAGGGCTGTCCTTTCAGGGCAGACAGGTCCTCAGTGCAAAAGCAGTCGGAGAAGCCAGAGAATGCCGTGATGCTCTGAGGGGTTGCTGTGACTCACCCTGACCAATGCTCCCTGTACCACCTGGTTCCCACTGCTGGCTCGGGAGAAGGGCCACCAAGGGACACAGGGAGAGGGCAGCAGACACACAGTGGCAAGAACTGGGATCAAGAGTCAGAAGACCCGCGTTCAGCTCTGATGCCTCTTCACAGGAGACACTGCACCTCTCCGAGCCTCAGTTTCCCCTCTACATGGCACTATAAACCACCCAGTCCTTGAGGCATAGGAGTGAGGGTGAAATACAGGACCTTTTCTCTTATTTAACAAATACTTATACTCTACTTGCCATGTGCCAAGCACTATTCTAAGCTCGTTTCAAATGAGCAGACTGAGGCACAGAGAATTTCAAGGTGTGTCCACGATCACACTAGAATCTAGAAAGTACCAGAGCCAGGATTCCAACCTGACAGTCGGGGTCCAGACCCCATACATTTAACCCCTTTTCTGTAAGGATGGGACACTTCTCCTGGGGGCTTCTCTTCAGTTTCTTCCTTCAGTCACTTGTGTGGGGCTGGAAACCTCCTCTACCATCTACCATCTCCCTCCTCTTTTTGGTTGGTTGATTGGTTCCTGTGTTGACTGGGTGGCTGCGAGTTCACCATTCCCTCCACCAGCATCTTTCCCCCACGCCTACCTCTCCCTGCCCACCCCACTAAGTCAGAGGCACTCAGAGACAGAAGGCGGGGCACTAAGACCTCAGCCAACTAAGAGTGAGACTGGGTTGTTGTGAGCTTGTGAGCATGTGTGCCCTTACATATGCGTGGAATGTCTAAGTGGCCCTGCCCTTGCCAGCTGTTTAATCCTGGGTGATTCCATCATTCTGGGGAGGCTTGGAAGGATTGAGGAATACATGATTTTATTTACGTATTTTTAAATTGTGGTATAATATACGTAACATAAAATTTACCATCTTAACCCTTTTTTAAGTGCACAGTTCAGTGGCATTAAGTACATTCACACTGTTGTGCAGCCATCACCGCCATCCATCTCCAGAGCCTTTCCTCTTACAAAACTGAAACTCTGTTCCCGTTAAACATTAACTCCCTCTTCCCCCCTCCCTCCAGCCCCAGGCAACCACCATTCTGCTTTCTGTCTCTATGAATTTGACTGCTCTAGGGACCTCCCATAAGTGAAAGCATATAGTATTTGTCCTTTCATGAC